GTGGGGTGCCGCTCCGGGTGGGGTGCCGCTCCGGGTGGGTGCCGTTCCCGTGGGGTGCCGCTCCGGTTGGGGTGCCGCTCCGGGTGGGGTTCCGCTCTGGCGCGCTGCGCTGCCCGTGGCTGTGGGAGAGCCAGGTACCGACGTGTGTGCACGTTCCTTTCTGCTCGGAGGAAGGGTACGGAATCGGCCGTCTGGAGACGTACGTCGTGTTTCTCGGACTGTGCGTAGCCTTGGCTGTTTCTGAGGCTAAGAAGGCAAGAGCCCGCGCGTGCCGAGAGCATCCAGTGCGCTGCATCGCGGGGTACTTTCTTGCTAACCTGACAGGGAACCTCGGTTTTATTTTAGGTGGAAAAGGACTATGCTTACCTGAAGGAGATATGTGATCATCAGGCAGAGCAGCTGAGCAGAACCAGCCTAAAGCTGCAAGAGAAAGCGTCAGCGAGCGATGCGGAGATAAAAGACATGAAAGAAACCATATTTGAATTGGAAGATCAGGTGGAGCAGCACCGGGCCGTCAAGTTACACAATAATCAGCTCATCAGCGAGTTAGAAAGTAAGTAGAACCAAGCCCAGGTGAAACGTGGAACAGGTGTGAGTAGGATGCTAAAGAAGCCAGTTGGTTGCAGGGGTGCCTGGGGAAGGGTCTTTAACCACGCTTGCTGGGGTTTATGAAGAGTCTTCTCAGTGTTCAGTAACCTCCCAGGAAGAATGACACTTAAGAAAAATTAATCTCTTAAACTAACTGGAAAACTGGAAGCGAGAGAAGACTGTTGAACATTGAGTCAGCAGCACCGGGTGATCGTGAAAGAGATTTTTGGATGTACTAGGTGTGCGGCGCCCCAACCCCTAAATCTGCCGCTTGTCTCTCGGCAGCCCCATCCGCTCGGAGGCCGCCGTGTTAGGACAGATCAGCTGCGAGCTGTCAGAGTTCACACAGACTCTTCCCGAGGGCGGTCTTCAGGGTGGGAGAGGGCTATTCGGAGAAAAATCGCTCGATCCAGTCTTCAAGTATCGGCACTGTGTTGTCTTGCGGATCTCACGGAGAGAGATGTGGATGGTGGGTGGGCAGAGCAGGACAGACAACGTGCGCTCCTGGCCTAAGGGGAGAACAGTTCCAGCACGTGTCCCGATGATGGCAGGATATCACATAACTTACGGATGTCGGCCACTTAGGTACTGAAGAGGTGTCAGTATATGGCTTGTTTATGAACCCATTGTTTACTCTGAGGAAGGAAAGAAATTTTTAAAAGAGATTAGTTAAACATTGCTTGCTTTGTCCAAATAAACCTTATCACATTATCGCATCTAATGTGTTTTGCTTTTGTTTTTTTTTGTTTTGTTTTGAGACAGAGTCTCACTGTGTTGCCCGGGCTATAGTGCTGTGGCGTCAGCCTACCTCACAGCAACCTCAAACTCCTGGCTCAAGCGATCCTTCTGCCTCAGCCTCCCGAGTAGCTGGGACTACAGGCATGTGCCACCATGCCCGGCTAATTTTTTCTGTGTATTTTTAGTAGTCCAATTAATTTCTTTCTATTTTTGGTGGAGACCGGGTCTCGCTCTTGCTCAGGCTGGTTTCGAACTCCTGAGCTCAAACAATCCGCCTGCCTCGGCCTCCCAGAGTGCTAGGATTATAGGTGTGAGCCACCGCGCCCAGCCAGTGTTTTGCTTTTGTTAACAAAGGACTTAATGCACAAAGCTTTTGCTCAGTCAGTTGCCTGAGAAGTTCCCCAGCGTGCACAGTTGATCCTAGTTATTCACAGGTTCCATATTTATGAATTCACCAACTTGCTAAAATTTATTTGTAACCCTGTAATGAATACTCCCAGCACGTTTGCAGTCATTTTCAGACATACACAGGCAAAAAGTCTGGTCGTCCCGCACTCACGTTCCCAACTGAGGTCAAACGGTGACACTCTGCCTTTTGGGTTCAGTTCTCATGCTCTCTACAAGTGTCTTTTTCACAGTCTATTTAGTACCATATTTGTGCTTGTTCTAGGTGATTTTGTTGTTTAAAATGGCCCCCAGCACAATGCTGAATGCCATCTGCTGTCCCTCAGCACGAGAAGGCTGTGGTATGCCTTACAGGGGAACACACGTGTTAGATGAGCTCCATTCAGGCATGAGCTGTTGCACTGCTGAGCACGAGTTCTGTGTTATTGAATCGGTGAGACAGAGCATGTAGATGGAGGAGGAAGTTTGATAGTATGCATGCATGTAAGGCTGCCCTGAGGAGTGCTAAATGACATCTGTAGTGTGTGACAAAGCTATGGAAAGATGGAAATGCGGCCACATTCATGGATTTGTGAGATGACAGCCAGTTTTAAGAAGTAGTGGACAGCATTGTTCTGAGGCCAAAAACCAAAGAAATGTATGTTCACATTGCCCAGGGAGGGTCAGGAAAACATTAAACCCATCTCATCTAATGCTACCTGGCTGCAAATTTCAAAAGACCCTAAGGTGTGAGAAAAGTTAACCTTGCAGGCAAGGCAGGTTCTTCGGATCAGGAGGAAGTGGAAGAATTTTAAAAACACTTGCTCAGTGCTATGCAGGAAGAGAGAAATGGGAAGAGCAGGTTTCTAATGATGATTAGACTGGTTTGTTCTATAAGGACCTGGACAGATGAACCTGATAACGCAAATGGCATTTTGGGTGACGAAAATGTTGTGGCCAGAGCCTGGCAGAAACCTAACCCTGTATTTCCCCTAGGAGCAAAGTACAGGATTTTCTAATTGAGTGTGCATGGTAGCTTTATGTAGCTATGATAGATAATGAGAATTGGTTGTGCTCTAGACCCTGATTAATTGGTTAGCTTGAAAGTTGACAGTGGCAGCTCCATTCCTCCTGAGACAGACGTGCAGTAGAGTCATAGAACCTCGGCGTCAGCGTCGGTGTCATCCAGGCTGTTCCCAGGATACAACTGAAAACGTAGACATCATCAACTGGTATAGATTTCCAAACATAGCCCCACGCTTGCAAAGAATAAAGTAAAAGAAGACAAGTTCTGTTCTGTTTTGTTTTTGTGATATATTGCTGTTGAGAGTACGTTTGTATTGTCCCTAATTCCTTAAAAGTCAGCACAGACACACCAAGAAAACCAGTGTATAATTAATGTCCAGAGCAAATTTCAGGCCCACCCCCTGTGATTATATCATCATATATCCAAGAGTGAAAATAGTGCTGGCCATCTTTTGGAAAGCTTTTAAACTTCAGTTAAGGATATTAAGGTATTAAGATATCTTTTTGCTAGGAGACCCAGGGACACACAAATCCAGCCCTAGACCAATCACTCCTTCCCATAAAAGCCTTGAGAGAAATGGACGGAAAAGTAACAAGAAGTGAAGGAGTGTTTTCTTACTCTGCAGCGTTGACCCCAGACACAAACTCTCAGGTCCCACATGCTGAACAAGGTCTGTGGGGGCAGGACCTGCCTATAAGCATTTGTTTTAAGCCTCCTCTGGAGATTCTGATTCACATCCTTAACAGACACCTGCTGCCCTGGGTTGGAGCAGGAAGAGCCATTGAGGAATTTTAACTCGGGGATTGACATGATCAGATATAAATTTAAATGCTCTGATATGGAAAGAATCAGAGGCAGGGAGACTGAGGGGCTGAAGATGTGCTTAAGCAGGGAGAGGTGGTCAAGCCACCCGTGAAGCTGTTGAAATACACACACTCAGATTCCGTCTGCCCTTGGAGATTCTGACTCTGTGCATCTGGGGCTAGATCTGTGCTTCTGAAAAGTGTCACAAGTGGTTCTGAGGCTTAACCGTGATTAAAAACTGTGACTGTAGAAACTGGTTTAGAAGTCGCAGGAGTAGCAACCAGCCATCCCTCTGTTACGTGAAAGCCCTCTGCCCCACAGCCACGAAGGACGTTCGGGATGGCTGTGTGTGCGTATCAGGGAGGCCTGGGGCGGGTGTGCGAGTGGCTGTTGTGGCCGCTTTGCGTGTGCCACAGGGTTGTACAACCTGTCTTCTGAGGCTGTAACCTAAACACACACCATTTATTAAATATTTTCCAGTTCATCCTATTCTCTATCTTGGAGGAACCTCCCACTTCCAGCTCCCTGTCTGTAAGGTGCTAAAAATTACATTTATAGTAGAATGGACGGATTCGAAAGCCTGTTGCGGCATCTGGAGCTGCCCCTTGGCCGCCTAGCTCACCTTCCTTCAAGAGTCATGACTTTCCAATACTTGCCTGAATTGTTTATTTCCAGGTAACGTAATCAAGCTGGAGGAACAAAAGTCAGACCTGGAGAGGCAACTGAAGGCTCTGACGAAGCAGATAAAGGTGAGACGTGCGCTAGAGCAGTGGCGGGAGCCTTCGCCATCATCTTCCTGTAAATTACCCCCTCGTAGGTCTGGGTTACTCTCTCTCAGTCCTGCTTCCTCTTGGAACATTTCTGTGGCTTGGGCCCTGAAACCATAAATTCTTGTTGGCAGGAAGTAAGATGAAAGCAGTCGTCCAGCTTTAGGGTGGAGAACCCTGATAGTGTGAAGGGGGAATCCCCACCTGTGCCCTCTCCTGTCGGGAGATGCTGTTGAAGCAGGGCCTCGCCAAGCACTGCTGGCCGTCCTCCTGGGTGGCGGCCCGGCAGGCACCTGATGCAGGGGTGGGCTCTGCGTTTTCAGGAGGAGACGGAGGAGTGGAGGCGGTTCCAGGCGGACTTGCAGACGGCGGTGGTGGTAGCCAACGACATCAAGTGTGAGGCCCAGCAGGAGCTGCGCACTGTGAAGAGGAGGCTGCTGGAGGAGGAGGAGAAGAACGCCAGGCTGCAGAAGGAGCTGGGGGACATGCAGGGCCACAGCAGGTTGGTGGCCAGTGGGCCAGCCCTCCGTGAGTCCGACGGGCACCAAGCTCGCGCTTGGCTTCTCACTTAATCACTGTGCATGGGCTTCCTGGTGGGATGGGACGCTTTGTGTCTCTCTATGCCAGGTTCTGTACCCCTTTTCAAGGATCACTCTGCCACCACTACCCCACTGGGAACGTTCCATCCAGGCTCAGCCACTACATTCTCTAGCATAAGGTGATGCAAAACTCTTCACTTACGTATGTAGGACAAGTTCCAGCCAAGTGTCCTCCTAGGTTTAAAGACTACAAGTCATGTCTAGGATGTTCATTAAATCTTGGTGTTTATTAGCGTAGGGGATCGCACACTAATACATGCTAATGCAGCACTCTGCGTGGGCCCCCTGCCAAGGGGAATTGCCACCAGGTAAAAGACTCTCTCCTCCTGGCCCAGGGACATGCAACACCCATGGGAGATTTCAGAAGGGCCTTGACATGACACATTTTATTAAAAAGGATGAGGGTGGAAAGCATACATTTTGCCGATGTGTGATGTGCCCTTCTGCTCTTGAGAGGGAGAACCACACAATGTGTTAGCCCAGAGAGCTCTCCTTAACAGCAGTGTTTAAGAGGAAAGTGTTCCTAAGGTAAGCTCAAAGTTCATTATTATTTAAAATTTAAATAGTTTATAGACAAGATTATGAACAATATTTTAGGCTTTACCTAATGCAATGTTATCTTTCTCCAATCAAGAATCAGTGTCCTTAACTTTGAGATTCTTGGGTATTAGCAAATTGTTTTGAATTTTCAGATATCTCAGATATGAAATATAGTCTTTTTAAATCCAATTAGGGGGTTCTGAATGTTGGTCTGTACAATTGCCCTAATTTTTACACGTTTTTTTGGGATCATTGCCTTGCTTCTGAGCCTTCGGGTCTGATGTTCTGTTACCATGAATTGCATGGCACTGACGAGAGTAGATTTCTTCTCAGAATTCTGTTTTGATTCTCTTGTCAATCGCGTTCCAATTAATCTCTCATTTCTTTGTTTGTGACTTTTATATAAAATGGCCTCTAGAGATAGATCACAATCAGACATGTAGCTAGTTCCACAATTCCCTCTTGAAAAGTGAAAATCAAGAGCATTATTTTATTTATTATGTACTTTTTTGAGATGGGAGTCGGGGGAGGTCTCGCTATGTTTCCCAGGCTGGATTCGAACTCCTGGGCTCAAGTGATCCTCCCACCTCAGCCTCCCAAGTAGCTGGGACTACAGGTGCGCACTATTAAGATCATTATTTTATAGTCACACCTCTACCATCTGGCCACCAAAGGGTATGATTTTTAAGTGAAGGTAGAAGGAGAATAGGAAGGCTAGATTTCATAGTGTTCCCTATTGAAGTGATTGTGAGGTCGTTCTGGTTTGCTTTTGTGTCTGCTTTCGTTTATTTTTCTCTTTGTCTTGCTTCCATATTATATGTCTTTGGAAGAGGAACCAAGTCATAACTTGTATTGCTTCATACATATGTTGTTTTAACAATACATAGTAAAAGACAAGTCCCGAGTTTCTGTGGTGGCCCTGAATAGGTTATCATATGAGATGTTGCATTTCCTACACAAATTTTAAGATACAGGCCAGTCTATACAAGTTGAACCCTAATCTCATAGGAAATTGCCGTGTGCGTTCTGACAGTTTAGGACTCCATATGGTATATCCTACATCTTCAAACTTAAGGTCAATTTTTTTTTTTTTTAACACACAATGTTTCTTTTTTGATTTTCTAGTGATTTGCAAACCTACTTCCCCAATCCAGCAGTTTAATCCTTTATCACAAAACATTTCAAAAGTTTAGAACTGACACCAATGAGAACATGGTATATTACTAAAATTAAGCATCAGAATGTTTCTTGCCTGTCACTGCATTTGGCAGGACATCAGACAACTGCGAGTGACAGGTTCTTGTCTGATTTTGCACTTCTCTGGCGAGTTGCCCCTCTAAAGAGCTGACTATTTGGAAGTTACTCGCTGATGGCTCAGCTACTTCCTGAACCTACCACATGAGCAAGAACTGAAACCAACTCACACCCTCAAAGCTCCGGAAGCCACCTAGTGTTTTCCTCTTGGCTGAATGAGTTCTTGACTGAAACTCAATTTGACTTAGACAGTCATCTACTAAGAACTCAAAAGTCATTATTGGTTCAGCCACAGCCAAAGAACTTGCAGAACATTCTCTGATGAGGTCCTCCAAGTACAACTGAGAGAAGGTAAGAGCATCCGAAAAGCACCTTGATTGTGACCTAGGATGAACTGGTCCCTGTTCTCACTTTGCATAAATGGGCATTCAAGGGATTGTTACAGTCACGTAGGTGGCAAATGAATTGGCTGGGTAGGAATGCAAATAATCATTTATTACCCAGAACTCAATAACTAAAACAGAGTGGAATGTTATTTAACTCATTAATGATCTTCAGTCCTGTTATGTTTTCAAAGATGTTTTTACTTCAGAGTCAGAATAACTGACATTAAGATCCGCGGGGAAAGAAGGCTGTAGTTTTATCTGTGCCGGAACCGGCAATGTCTCCTTTCCAGCCCTGCCTCTTTCCTCTGTTAAAGGAAGAGGTAAGAGTAGGTAGTTTTCAAGGTACCTTTAAGCTCTGCCGTTCTGTAAGACTAGTTGGTCAGCCGGCCCTTCCTGCACGGGAGAGTCAGGAACTTGGGTGCCAGCCTTCCCATCTTGCTGCCACCATCCTTTGAACCTCTCTGATGCAGGCGTTTCCGTGTCTTAGCTGTGGCTCCTAGGCCTGGTCATTCTCTTCCAGAAATCTGAACAAGCTGATGTGTTTTTTATGGACTCAGAAGTGGTGTGTTTTGCTGGACACATATAAATTAACGGATGAAAGGATAATGAATAACTGTCTCAATTCTGGCTTCTTCCCAGTTTTGAACAGTTAAGAGAAAGGCTTTGAAATGAAAACTTGTATTGAAATTAAAATATCAGTTCTTTATCCTGAAAAGTTGAGTCCTGGAGCCCAGCAGATATAGGGAAAACACAGGCAGCTCAACATAAAGCTTTGGTGGGCCCCATGCAGCCTTTCTAATGAAAGACATCGTTGGTGAGCAGCACATGACACAGGCTTCTCAAGCAGTAGCAGGGAAAGACCTCTGCATTTATTTCTCTTGTTCTGAAACAGTAAATGCCATTACTTTTAGGGTAACTTATCTGATTCTTTTTTTTTTTTTTTAATTTTTTTTTTTTGAGACAGAGTCTTGCTCTGTTGCCCGGGCTAGAGTGCCGTGGCTTCAGCCTAGCTCACAGCAACCTCAAACTCCTGGGCTCAAGTGATCCTCCTGCCTCAGCCTCCCGAGTAGCTGGGACTATAGACACATGCCACCATGCCCGGCTAATTTTTTCTATATATTTTTAGTTGTCCATCTAATTTCTTTCTATTTTTAGTAGAGATGGGGGTCTCACTCTTGCTCAGGCTGGTCTCGAACTCCTGACCTCGAGTGATCCGCCCGCCTCGGCCTCCCAGAGTGCTAGGATTACAGGCGTGAGCCACCGCGCCCGGCCACTTATCTGATTCTTAACTGTGTTTATCATATAACACCAGTAAGCATCCATGGAAAACATCTTAAAAAGAGATCACTAAAAGCACTTAATATCTCTGCCTAATTAACTCTACTGGTTTCTAAAATAGAGTGTCTTAAGATTCCAGCGTGTTTAGCTCATACCACCGGTTCTTGCACTGTCCCCTCCCGGAAGTGAGCAGCATGGCGGCATATCGCGTGCAGACTTTGCTGGATCAGCTTTAACTCGGTGTATGCGTGTCTGTATCGGCCCTAACGTCAGTCGTGTGTGCCTGTGCCACCTTTGTGTTGTTCTGAGCTCGAATGGTTCACAGCCACTCAGCGAGTGTTCTGTAGCTGCTGTTGGGAGGGGAGGTGTGGAAGTTGGAGGTGTAGAGTCTCGGGTCACTAAGTTATCTTTTCCAGCTCTCTTGCTGCAGATGCTTTGGCGCTGAACCCCTAGCCCGCGGGGAGGGGCCCGTTCCCCTGGGGTTCCTAAGCAGTTTCTGAACAGACCTCACATTACCAGCTACGACAGCTGTTGCGGGCCTCTGCCATTTTATTTGGCCTTCAGCGCCGAAACTGGGCCTTTCGTGTCCTCTTACTCCAGCAAGCATAATCTGTCCACTCCCATACTGCCCTTTTTTTTTCATAGTTTAAATTCACATTGGTGACATCAGCTACATAGTGTATAATTCTAAAGAGCTATGTCTGCCTCCTGGCTCCCTGACCCCATCTTTACAGACTTGCTTTGAAACGTGTGGACGTAACCTTCCCTTAGGCCTTCAGGATCTTTAGGCTGTAGTAATAAAAGAGAAAAGTGTTTTTGTGCTTGACAGTAGAGGGAAGCACGCGCCTCTCCACAGGTTGCAGAGGCCTGGTGTTTCATCCCCAACATCCCTGCTGCACCAGCGCAGGTCTTCGCATTTGAAGTCTTTGGCATTTTCTCTGGCTGAAAATCTTTGACTTCCCCAAAATTAGAATAGTAAGAATTAAAAATGTTGGCCCTATTCCGGATATTGGCTTTTTTATTAGCTTTCCCCGCGGGACCGTGAAGCAGGTAACTGTGGTGTTTGTGAGCTGAGACCATGTTGCCGTAAGTGCCTCCTTTACCAGCCTCTGCCTCCTGTTTCTATTTCCACAGCTCCACGGTCTCTGTCAGCTAGCAGAGCACTCGGTGGAAGAAAGACAGCCCGGCCCTTGCCGTGATCGGAAACTACAGCCATTAAAATGTGAAAGGGGGATGTGTGGAGGAGAAATGACCTCTTTGCAAAGAGCTGCCTCTTTATAGCTTTTCCCTGTTTCACACACGGTCCTTGCAGTCAAGTCTCTGCACGATCAAAGACCATCCTTTCCTCTTTTTTTTCTCTCAGAAGATTCATCAGTCTTTCATCTAGAGAATAAAATGAAGTTGTTCTGAAAAAACAAAGTACAAGTCTTATGAAAAAAGTGCGT